AGTCTACCACAATGTCACAGACTATTGGCCCAAACTAAGAAAAACACATACACACACACACTGCCAAATGAATATGATCAAGCCATTAGCTGGCCAGCCGAAACTAGCAACAGGTTGACTAAACTCAACCACACCTAAAGGACAGAGGGCATATTGAAAGTCGCCGTCTCCGACACACCGTACAAACCCACTATAGCCGGCTAGTAACACTTCATAGCCCACAGAATGAATTAGTGAATCACCTGCCAACCCAGCCAAGCCCAACGTTAATTAACTTAGATAAACAAAGCGAATGGTTTGCAAGTGTAACTTTCCACGGATTTGATTGGTTCCAAGTATATCTATGGATTAACATCAGTTAGAAAGCCATTGAAAAAAAGCGAAGACGACTGCGTTACGTGTCTATTCCGCGCTAGTTTAGGACTCTTCGGTAGTACGCAGTTATCACCCCTTATAAGAGATCGAATCCAATACTTCTAGGTTACGTGGTCAATCCGTGCTAGAACTTCAAATCACTCAAATCCGTACAAGCAAAGATTTAAAAATTACGTATTAGAGACAGTTTACATGGCAAAGTTGTTTGTCTGTCTGTCTGTCTGTTTTCGACATAGAACTTTGCACAAATGTGCGGAAGTTCAAGTCGCCACATTCCGTGTAGCACGCGAAGCAAGAGAGGAAAGTACAAGAAAAGCATAATAGAAACAGTGAGCAGAGGTGTGAGACAAAGGAGTAATAAAGAAATACAAAACAGTTTCATTGGAGATCATAAGTCACAGGGAGTGGATGCATCTGCGCTAGCCACTGAGAACGGTTTTGAGCCATGTCACCAATTGTTTCCAACCGTAGATTTTTACCGTCCCGAGGACCCCAGCCTGGAAGTCTACACCTTTCTACGTGGCTTAGACCAACTGTTGTGGATTTCATTGACTGGTGAAGCCAAGTTTTTGTTTGACCGCCGCTAGCGTTTTTCCAGCCTGACCCTATATCCGCTAACATTGCTCGTCGAGGGAGGCGATGGCTTGGCATACGTAACACATGTCCTAACCATCTCAGTCTTTGTAGCTTCACGACTTCGTCTATTGATTTCCCCTGTTTACCTAGAACTCTACGCCTAACCTCCATGTTGCTCACCTTATTATGCCACTTTACACGGGAAATAGAACTCAGGCAGCTATGATCAAAGACAGATAATCTTTTCATGTCTTCCACTCTCAGTGGCCAGGTCTCACAACCATACAGGAGGACGGAGCGGACTGGTTGTTTGACTTTCTAGTGAGAACTTTTGCTTGAATAGCACAGTCGATCAGGTCAGGTGTGTGTGCGCGTGAATAGTCGCCGATGACATTAGCCTATTGTGACGCTTTAAATCGCGAATCGACAGAAATCGAAGAGCCATTGGAGGAGCCGTTCGTGTCCAGCTTACTGAACAGTCAACTGCCTTGCCTCCTAACTCTTGGTTGCGCGTGATCGTGTATGCTTACTATTCGATGAGTCAGTCCTCAAGTGAGACGAAACAGCTACTCCGTATATATTCCTTGCTGATTTTCAATACTTCTCTAACTGATATTATTCTGTGGTTAAACTTGATTAATAATGACAACAAAAGTACTTATTTATCATATAAAATGGAATGAAAACTAGAATTTTTTCGGGTTTTTTCAGTCGATTGTAATAATAATAATAAAGTTGATAACAGTAAAGCTTTTTGTCCAAACAAGGCGACAAACATGTAAATATTACATAACCTAAGTTATTTCAACCCCTTATATAAATTAATATGGGTTAGTTAAGGAAGTATGAAGTGTGTGTGTGTGTGTGTGTGAGACGGAGAGAGAGAGAGAGAGCGCGAGTACAGATATGTACACAGATATTCCCAAATTGTGGTTATCTTATCTCTCTGAATACAGCTATAAGCTTTCAACTTTATGATAATAGTGTTGCATTGAAACAAAGTTGGTCTTTTTGTCTTTCTCTGTGTTGGCTAGTTTCAACGTAGAACTTTGCACAGATGTGCAGCAGTTCGAGTTGTCACACACACACGCACTCTCTCTCCATGTAGCACACAAAGCAAAAGAAGAGATTCAAAAGACAGACAATAGACAGAAATATGAGTCACAAAGAGTAGTTGTAGCGACAAAAGACAAGAGTCAGGCAACAGATCGTTTATTAAGGAAATCAAAACGCTTTTTTTTATATTTTCCTTCACGTTCCCAGTGGAAAATAGGGCCTCAAGTTAGTGGCTTGAAGTTTCTGTAGCAGTGTTTATTTTTACGGGATGGAGTTGCTAGCTTCATGCCCAACCTTTCCTCTTTACCAGTCTTACTACTGGCTTAGAGAGGTAGGGGAGTGCGTCGGCTGGGGATCGAACTCCGGGCCATGTGCATGGTCGGCGAGCGTCCTAACCGCTATGCCACCGACGCAGATCAACACGTATTTATATATATTTCATGCACATTATTATAGCTTATTCAAGCAGACAAACGCAGTCTTCTGATTTTTGTTTCTCACAGAAAGTTGACCTTGCATCTCTTTGTGACTGTTTCTTGAATGTCAGGTCATCTATATGTTAACTGTATCTGCCTACGCCAAGTCTGTTGTGATTGGTTGTTGAATCAGTCTTGCTCATATTTTCTCACCACCAATATTTGCGACATACCCATTGACGTAAAATGCTATCTACCATTTTGGCTAGCCTGCTCTCACCACATAGTAATATGAGAAAACAATATAGTTTTATTGAATATTATAAATCATAAGGAGTGGATGCATCTGCGCCATGCCAGCCATTGAGAACGATTTTTAGTCTTGTCTCTCGAGTACTCTGGAGGCTGTTACTAGATAACTTATTGTATCCTGATTCGGATTCCTTCAAGCTGTAGATAATTTTAAAAGATGATACCGATGAAGGTCTGTGGCTTGGGCGGGTGTCCATTCAGTATGTTCCCCCGGCAATTGTGCTAATAATTGTGTTGTGTTATCCCTTCTTGATGTTCATACTGAACCTTCTTGCCTAGCTGATACAGAACCATATTAGTAATCTGCAGGGGTTTAGAGAAAAAGAATAAAGTCCATTTCTCCACTCTCTTTGTCGACCCGTATACTCAACACTTATGTATTCAGATAATTCACTGCATAAACGGAACATTGTAAACATGTATGTCTTGAATATTTCCGGCTTAATAAACATGTATTCTGCTCTAAAATGCGTTGATGTGTTTATTTCAGTAAACTTTGTTATGGTACTAACATATACAGGTCAGTAGACTAGCTTCAAACAGTTGGGTACCAACCTCTAGGTAGAAAGAGAAATCTTATCCCCCTTTCTTTATACTTACGAATTCAGGAAATTTACTCTGTAGATACGGTCGACATAGAAATAGAAAGCCTTCGAAAAGCTCTCTTAAATTATTGAATATCCTAAAGGGTTTATCGAAAGAAACACCAAGAAAGAAACCGTCCCGAGTCAAATCACAGTGCCAAAGAAGACACTGTTTTTGAGTTTGACTTTCAAAGGTGATAGTATTTCTGAAGTAATTAAAAGTCGTTTATCTAAGTGTAGTAAACGGCGTTTTTATGCAGCTGACTTATACATTTAGTATTTACCAGCCGAAATATGATTGAACAATGAGGTAAGGATAAAATACCACCTGTATGTGCATAAACCTATTTACATGCTCGTTTGCAGCTGATTTTACATTGGATATTGTAAGCGTAGTCGCCGTAAACGCGTAGCTCCGGTTTGTCTAATGAAAGGTGAGCAAAGGACGATAAAGTCTTCAATTTGTGAACACCATCTAGAGTCAGGTCATTCAGCCCGCACGTGGCCCTTATCTACTGGGCCAAATCCAGCCACTTCGAATGCTTACGTTTTCTCCACTTATGCATCATAACCAGTCGAAGCTCTAGTTTATACATGGACAAAATCCTAAATTATGTATTCAAAAAGGTTTTGTCAAACCCCTTTTCTATACCTTGGTCATAGTAATGTTCTTTTTTTTACCACTTGAATTCGTCATTCCACTTCACTTCACCTTTGCCGTCCTTATTGTTATCATCATCATCGTACTGTTGATTTTTTCTGGACAACACTTGACCTACTGTTTTGAAAGTCTTTATACCAGTTCACTTATTTAATAATCTTTAAAAGTTTTGTAATTCATCCACCTTAACTCTACCCCGAACTCCCCCCCCCCCTTAATACATCATTTTAATTATCTTTATTCTTTATTCATATATGGAATATTGACTGAGCAGTTTCTAGTGCCGCTTAATGCCATTGTAACGACAGAATACAAAGGACAGGCAACAGCTCGTTTATTGAGAAAATTAACAGATATTTATAGGTTTTTATTTACATTATTATTCGTTATTGTTTGTGGAAAACCAGCGTCTTCTGATTGGTTGTTTTCTTGCTAAACATTATTCTGTCATCTCTTTGTGACTGTTTCTCAGAAAGTTAAGCCATATAATCTGCTGTGATTGGTTGTTGTTGATTCCCTCAAGATTAAGTTTTGTTATTGTGTTTTTTTTCTCATGACCCCCATTCTTGACGTAAACAGTGATTGATGTCAGTTGTTGCTTGCAATTGTCGGCTTGTTCGCAGCCAGCTCTCACTACACCGTTTTCCATAATATAAATGCGAGTATACAGTTGTCTCTTCACTGTACAAAAATTGTGATCTTACTAATTGTATTGGCCTGAATATTCAACTTTCAGTGGATGAGAGGTGAGTTCGAGTCTTGTTCTATCTAATTCAGGATAGACAACTGGGTGGTAGTACCATCAGGCCGGGCTCCCCTCTCCCCCTCACTCACACACACACAATGAATGAGGCTAATGGTGTTGTAGTACATAAGAGGTTTGTTTCGAATGACTGTGAGATAATCACAGCCGTTTCACATAGATATTTATGCATATTGTACATTCTCCTGTGTTGCATTTTTGGTCATTTTATACTAAGCTTACATTTTATTTCACTTTCACATATTTTGACAATTTAGATTGATCAAGTTCAAGCACTGACAGAATTTATTACAGCTCAAGCGGATTATCATCGTCAAGCTACAGATATTATGGAACAGTTGAGGAAATTTCTTATTGATAAGTAAGTTTGTATTTTTGTGATATATGTGGGTAAAACTTGGATGGGATGGGTAGCACTGTGATAGTATATAGCTCTATATTAATTGGTTTATTAGATATATCACACAATGAATCATCCCACCCAATCTATGTCAGTGAAAATAGGATTGGTGAAATGTTAAAGTTATAGGGCTTAAAATCTAAGTAGTACCAAGGGAAATCTAAGACAGGAAGTGAGGCATATAAGAGAAGCTTTGAAATTTAATTAATAATTACCCTGATAAATTAGTCAAAATGTATGTAGGAAAATGTAAAAATAAAATTAATAGTGGTAGTGTTAGTGATTATAATAATACTAATGACTACATGCCTGTCAAACATGCTCAGGATAATGAAAACATCAACAGTAAGGAATTTAAATCATCAGTAGTACTTCCATACAAAGAAGGAACCTCAGAGATCAACTTACGCAGAATTCTTAACAATGCAGGCAGGAATAAAAGTGGCTGCATTCATATCACCTACAAACTCAATTAAAAATAAGCTTTGTCGGTTAGAGGATCGATCCTGTTGAGCCTTTAAAACAAAACAATTTATTTTATCTAATACCCAGCCTGACTGCAGTGATTGTCACGTCGTATACATCGGTCAAACTAGTAGAAACCGGTTCAGTCAGACTAGCCGAGCATTAAAACCTAGCAAAATATAGATTAGTTGACCCGACACGAAGATAAAAAATCTAGAGAATAGTTCAGCTCTACCACTGACTACATACAGTTACACACAACCATACAATAGGTTGGATGGGATAGGATGACAGTTTTAAAATCTAATGTCACAGGGTGGAGGTGGGGAGAGATTGATAACGGAAGTTTAAGCTGTCGAATCAATTGCAAAGACGTGTAATAGGAATGATTCAACACCTGTCCACTAGGATATCTGGAAAATTCTACTACTATAAAAAATAGGAGAGACTAAAGAAAACTATAAAACTCAAATTTTGAAGTTGTGTGATTATAATTGATGATATACTTTTACTTTACTTTACTTTGGCTATCTCCTACAGGAGGATGAGCCGGCTTCATGAACCATGAAGTTTCATGGGAATTGGGTACGAGTGATGTCCCCAGAATCGCTCGGCCTTTGTTTGAGAGTGCAGCTCTAGCCTTTACACAACCAAGTGTGACCTACAAGGCAGTAGGAGTGGAGTAGGGAGTCCACTATCCATTGGAAGCCAGCCGGTGACCGGAGTCCGGTTCATTCGCCTTTTTAAATGGGGCCAGACATCCAGGGCATCCAATAAGCCCTTTGTCCATACGTCTGACGGTGAGCTTCATACGCCAGTCGTTGGAGGTTTGGAATCAGGGTTTAGCCATCTCCCCTAGACTGTCATCCAATGGACAGTCAACCCGGTGAAGAGCGCCGGGAATCCGCTTTTGCTCTCTCACTTTGGTGAAAAACACCTCCGCCACGTGAAGGCAGTGAGTAGGACTTCCTCAGGAGAGGCTATGTAAGACGCCCGGTCATATGGGAGCATTTCAAGAGGTGTACGGAGGGGTGGCCAACCCGCAGCGCAAGACACCTACCCCCGACCATCCTGAGGCTTTGGAGGCTAATTGATGCTATGATTATGAACAATACGGAATAGTGTTCGAAACTTCGTCATCCAGTAAATAATAATAATAATAATACTGTTTCACTCTGTGTTTAATATATCTAATAAACAATTTAATATGCATAAGTAAGTTATATTTGCTTTGTAGATATGATGTGTAATTATTTGTTTTTTTTCCCTTCGATAATTTATGTTTTATCAATGTATTTTCTTTTTACCTTATTTACCAAATCTGTACTGAAATTTTGTTGACTTTGTCTTAGTGTCTCATCTCCTTATGGATGGATAAGATATGTAGAGACTCCGCATCTATGAATGTTTTGATGTTATTGTCGACATGAACCGAAATCAAATTGTGAATCATTGAAAACTAAGGTAGCACTGGACAACTTTCAGGGACTCTTTGAAGTAACGTGCATCCATGATCCAAGTGCAACACTTCACCCCTTTGAATTTCACCTCCCCCCACACACACAGTGGCTAAAGGGTCAGGTCACCCTTGAATTTTAACTTTCATTTATTGGCCATTTAGTGTGTTACTACCAAGCAATGCCATTGACAAGCATCCTCTTCAGCCTAAAATGGTAGATCTCACCGACCAAAACTTCTCATTAGAACTTCAAGACATCTATTTTATAGCGATTAAGAAGCTATATTGCTATATATTATTCATGGGCAGTTGAATCCAACCCAATGACTGAGTGAACTGGTCAAGGCGTGTTGACCTCCTATTGTGAAGGTCATGGCTTTGATCTCTGGTGGAGATTATCAGTTCACACTGCTGAAGAATTTCGAGCTAGAGTTAGACATTTCTCCGGTGCTTTTTAGGTTCTAATGCCTCTCTTCCCTTTGTAATGGATGTTGATTTGTGATGGATGCCTACAAAATAAAAAAAGTCTATGGAAGTTTCTGTGCAATCGGGTAGGTGATCTTGGTTGATCTGACTGATTATCTGGATTATTTATGTTACAGAGATTGGTTGACACCTTACTCTATAAATAACTTGAAGGCTTGCGTGTTTTTCTGGTAGATGAAATATATTGTATGATGGTAGTGTGTGAATACTCTCTGCCTTGTACTGTCCTCTAACTTATCTCTGTTCTCATCATTGGCGTCGTCAAACATCAATACTTGTTAAATACTTTTGTGTTAGTTAGTGATTGATATGCACCGATCACATGATCAAGTTCGTAGATTTTTTGTGTAGGTTGTCTGCTGATTCCATGTTGACAGTTTTGTGAGTCGATGACTCCCATTCCATCTGCCTTCGCATATTTATTTCCACTACTTGAATCCCGTATCTTTTCATTTCGTTTATAATCTGGGAAGCTTTGCCAGTCTCATATATGCATGGTGTGGACGTTCCATGTCGCCACATAGACTTTTTTCTTTTGTCGTAAGCAGACGACTCATCGTGCTGAAGTTTCTGTAGCAACTTTGTTTACAGGGTGGGGTTGCTAGCCTCACGCCTGAGAAGGGGCGTGTTGTTACATTAATGTATAGTTTACAGTGGAGCGACGTTTTGGTTTGCTCCCCTTAGAGCCAGGAAAACAAGGAATAAAGCAATTAGAACAACACCAGGAAAAGGAGAAAAAAATTACAACAAGAAGAGCGACAACAACAACAACAACAAAAAGACCGTAGGACTAGTATTACTTGCAAAAAAAGCAGTTGACAAAAATGATGTCAAAACCACAGACTCATTGACTTGGGTTAGATTAAGTAAGTCCAACAATATATACAATTATAAATATTAGATAGTGTTAAACAGTCACTATATGCCAAACAGACAGTTATAAGTATTATCAGTCAACAAGATTATATCCACAGATTCAGTGTTCGAAAGTCAAATAATTACAATAAATTCCACAACTTCTTGGCGATAAGCACCCGAGAATAAGAGTTTTATGTAACTAAGTAAACGTAGCGCGCCAAGGTCCATTCGCCGATTCCATGTGCTGGTTGTATATTTCGTCTGGTTTTCCTCTGAGAAACCATGTTGTAAAGTATTTGAAGTGTTTGTTCTTTTTGTTATTTTATGGAATTAGTTTGTAGGGATTCTGTTTGTTTCACGTTAGACCACGGATTGATATCAGTTGGAGAAACATTGAAAACCAGCCAGGGAGTAATGGACAGCTGTTTCATCCTGGTTGGGGACTCACAGGCAGTACGCACCCGTTGCCAGGGTTCGAACTCAGGACGTTCCTGTTTACAAGCGAGCTAGCTTGTATACCATTCAGCCACTGGGGCCCAATTCAATGACCAGTTCATGAATTCTAACTGATCACGACTTCTTACTAGAACTCCAGCTAACTTCATCTTGTAGTTAGGCACTAGCGACCATCAGAATAATTCTCAAGAGTTAGTTTGTACGGATTCTGTTTGTTTCCGGTGGTAGACCACGGATATTTTTTTATATCTCATTTCTTTGCGTTCAGAGTAGAAGAAGGACTTCATGCGCTTGAGCTTTGATGTGAATGCATAAGAGATGTTGAATACCTAAGGGTGTTGTAGTTGGTAACAAGATGAATAATTTAATGAGTGTATTGGTTACAGGATTTTATCATGAGCTGAAAACAGTTAGAGAAACTTTAGAAAACCTGGGAATGCTGGAGGGCTGTTTCGTCGCAGTTTGTGACTCTTCATCAGTATGCACCTATCCCACAGGGGTTCGAAGCCGGGACCTTCTGGTTACAAGGCTAGCGAGCTCGTAGACCAGGTAACTACCTACGAGCCTACCTGAATAGGGCCCAGTCGCTAGTGATATTCACTGATTGGGTGCGTCCTGATGAAGAGTCCCAAACTAGGCCGACGAAACAGCTGTCCAGTACTCTCATGTTTTCTAGTGGTTCTCTAACTCGATGTCAGCTCATGATGAAATCCTGTAACCAATATAATCTTTTTGTTATTCGTATTTTTTTTATTATGTAATACTCATTGATTTACAGTAGGGTGGATTACATTTGTGGTAATTCTTCTCTGTTTTCGACTCAGAATATCTATTTCAACCCAACGAAAAAGTGTTTTTATACATCAGCTAAGTTATAGTGTCTGTCTACTTCAGTAGACTGGTGGTGGTGGGGGGAATCCTTCATCATCGAAACCTTTAAGTAGGCTATTGTGAATAATGAATTAATGATTAGGTCTTCTCACCTGCATGGCTAGAGAACATTCACCTGTGTGAAAGTATCAAATTTTGAAATAAAAATACTTGTAGTTTTTTACATGACATCCAATTTTATTCTAATCGGTTAAATTTATAGTATTTTCTCTCACGGTACTTCAGAGAAATGAAGAAATCCAAAAATCGATACGTTTTTTGGAGGGGGGGGGTGTTTACATTATTGTCTTCAAAATAATTTTTCTTCATATTAAATATAATTCATAGATATGACTGCTGTATTCAG